CTCCTCTTCCGCCTCCTCCTCTTCCTCCTGCTCCTCGTCTCTTCCCGAAGACCTCCAGAGACCCCGTGGGGCCGCCCAGGAACCCCTGAGACATCCATGCACCTTGCCAGGCTTAGGCTTCAGAGGGGCAGCAGGATTGTTCAAGAGACGATCGATTCAATGAATCGTGCCAGTGTTAGAGCGTGGTATCGACCGATTGAAATTACGCCCCCCCCAATGTCTTCCATGTAAGCGTTTCGGTTGTTCGGCTCGATTCTGTAGGGGACTCGATCGACCTTTGATTCAGAGCAACCTTCGGCCAGCCATGGAAGGGGGAGACACGGAAGGTGATGTGCCCCGCCATGTCTGCCTGACCCTCCGAAGACCCACGTGGGCCGACCGACGCGGACATCGGCGCCCGAGGTCGGGAATTGGAACATACATATTACCAGTGGCGGGTTTTGTTTCAATCCCACGACTTTTTGAGGGTCGGGGACGACGTCGGGGTGGTGTGGTGTATACTTCTCTCCCCCGTATCCCAAGTGAAGTAACGAAACATGTACGCACCAGGATCCCGTATACACTGGTAGCCGCGTTCCTGTGCGACTTTCAGCGCAGGGTCAGAAGAAGCGTCGGTGTCTAGAGCTCGTCTCCCTACAAGGCGGCCCGAAGCCCCTCGGCCTGAGAGCAGAGAAAAGACCGCCTGAAGAGTTGCCCAAAAGCGGCCCCATAGGTGCTTTTTCAGACCCCGATTGCAGCAGCACCCCCTGCCTGATCGATGGCCTTCAAGATGATTCCGAGATTTACCCGGCCGGCTAATTTACAGCCCCGTCGCCATCGAGTCATGTGTGAGCGCGGTCATAGCCCCCTTGAGGTGTAGCGGATTTGGCGCTCAGTCGAGCCGGTCTTGCCCATGGACGGGCATCGTGTGCTTGTGTTCGCTGGGGGAGGAAACAAAAAGAAAGATGGTTCCAAAAGAAAACAAAAAAAAAGAGGGCCCCTGGGGGAGGCGGGCACCGGCCGCCACCGCCACCGCAGCGGCGGGCCCTCGCGCGGGCCCCGCGGGATGGGGCCCCTCTGCCGCCACGGCCGGAGCGGCTGCGCCGGAGCAGCCCTGGGAGGCAGCGGTGCTCCTGCCCCCGCCAGAAGGGCCCCCAGCCTAAAGTCGGGCCTGTCCCCCTGCAGGGGGATTTTGGAGGAGTAATAGAAGATAGTCAAGAGATATGCCCAAGTGGTCAAAACATGATCCAGACATCGCCCCTAGATGATATCTTTTTTAATCGAACTGTTTTGGAATGTTCCTCCTGTAGTGGGGCACGCCCGACTTAACCCCAGCCTGCCCAGGAACGTCCGGGCTCACGGTCGGAGTCATGTCGCCGAGCTACATTCGGCCCGGATTAGCAGGTCGACCCTGCCAAATCAAGGGTACCCTGGTGTCCTGTGTCTCGCGACCAATGCTTCCTACACTCCTGTGGCAATGTGACCCTCGGAGCGTCTCGTGTCCTCTCGCGTGTCCTGTCCAATCAAGGCCGACTGTTAGGGGGCCACATGCGAAGCCTACCCCTACCCCCCATGATTTCTGAGGGGGGGTGGGTGGGGTTCACTTCGTTCGGGAGCTCCCGAGCCAAGTGAACCCCGCCCTCCCACTCAGAAATCGTGGGGGGTAGGGGTAGTGTTCGCATGTGGCCCCCTAGCTGTATCGGCGATGTATCGCCGGTTCCAGGTCGATGTGATCCCCCCGCCCCAGAGTGCCAGAGTCCCCCCTGGACCCGCTGCCCCGCACAGAGAGAGAAGGGGCTGAGGAGGGTGGTGGGCCGGTTTTCCACCACCACCACCATAAGTTGGAGGGGGAGGGGGTCCTCCTCTCCTCCTCCTCGTCCTCCTTCTCCTCCTCCTCCTCCTCATCCTCCTTCTCCTCCTCCTTTTCCTCCTCCCTCCTCCTCCTCCTCCTCTTCCTCCCCTCCTCCTCCTCCTCCTCCTCCTCCTCCTCCTCCTCCTCCTTCCCCCCATCCAGCTTGTGGTGGTGGTGGTGGAAAACAGGCCCATCAGAGGGAGTGCGTCCATGCCCTCGCTCTTGTCCTCGGGCGGTGCCCGCGGGTCGTGGCCCGCAGGCCGCGCGTCGGTCGCGACGGCGCGCCCATGAGCGCCGGCAGAGGGAGCGAAAAGATCGACAGCAGGTCCCTCGCGAACAGGGCGCGAGAGCTCCGCCGACGCCAGCCGCAAGAGCCCATCGAATGCCGCCACGGCCAGCGTCGGCAGAGCGATCGCGGAGACGCCCCACGACACCGTGCGTGGCATCGCCAGGCGGCCGATCATCGCCACGCCGAGCGTCATCAGCACGAGGTGCAGCACGAGCAGCTCGAAGTGGGCCGCGAGGTGGATCCCCAGGCCGGCGACGAACCGCATCACCGCCGCAGCCAGCCACGAGCGCCAGGCGTGGCGCGGCGGCCGTGGCAATGCAGGATGCCTGGCGGTAGCCGTGGCGTGGCGTGGCAGCCGTGGCGTGGCAGCCGTGGCGTGCCGTGGCAGCCGTGGCGGCCCAGCCGCGCCAAGCCGCGTGGCGTGGCAGCCATGGCGATGCAGGCTGCGCGACGCCCGCCGCAGCGCCTTCGCATCGCGCGCCCGTGCCGGAGAGGCTCAGGCCTGGCGCCCTCGCTGCCACCGCGAGCATCCGCAGCATGACGGGCCGCCGCTGCTGGCGCTGCCTCGCGGGCCAGCCAGGACCATGTCGATCTGAGACCCTGCCGATGTGACCTGAGGCTTGGGGGAGTAGAGGAGGAGGAGGAGAAGGAGGAGGAGGAGGAGAAGGAGGAAGGGGAGCAGGAGGAGGAGGATAAGGAATGCGATGATTTTGATGCTGCTGATGCTGACGCTGATAATGATGATGCTGATGATGCTGATGATGATGATGATGCTGATGCTGATGCGGATGATTAGGCTGCTGCTACTGATGATGAGGAGTAGGAGGAGGACTAGGAGGATCAACATGATGTTGATGATGATGATGACGATGCTGCTGATGATGATGCTGATAACGATGATGATGATGCTGCTGAGGATGATGGTGATGATGACGATTATGATGCTGCTGCTGATGATGCTGATACTGACGATGATGCTGCTGATGCCGATGAATATGATGAAGTTGATGATGCTGGTGATGATGATGAGGATGATGAGGATGCTGCTGACGATGCTGATGCTGATGCTGATGCTGATGATAATGATGCTGCTGATGCTGATTCTGTTGATGATGGTGATGATGATGCTGATGATGAGTATGATGATGACGATGATGATGATGCTTCTGATGATGCTGATTCTGATGATGCTGATGATGTTGGTGGTGATGATGATGACGATGATGATGCTGATGAGGATGCTGCTGCTGCTGATGATGATGCTGCTGCTGCTGATGCTTATGATGCTGCTGCTGATGATGCTGATGATGCTGCTGCTGATGAGGAGGAGAAGGAGGAGGACGAGGAGGAAGATGCTGCTGCTGCCGCTGCTGCTGCTGCTGCTGATGATGATGATGACACTGTTGCTGCTGATGATGCTGCTGATGATGATGCTGATGCTGCTGCTGCTGATGATGATGCTGCTGATGCTGCTGCTGCTGATGACGATGATGAAGATGCTGTTGCTGCTGCTGACGATGATGCTGATGCTGATGCTGATGATGATGATGATGATGCTGATGACGATGACGATGGTGATTGACGATGATGATGATGATGATGATGATGATGATGATGATGATGATGATGATGATGATGATGATGATGTTGATGATGATGATGCTGATGATGACGCCGATGATGCTGACGACGATGATGATGATGACGATGATGATGATGATGATGATGCTGCTGCTGCTGATGACGATGCTGCTGCTGATGATGATGCTGATGATGATGTTGATGATGATGTTGATGATGATGCTGATGATGATGATGCTGATGCTGATGAGCTGTGCTGCTGATGATGATGAGGAGGAGGAGGGAGGAGGAGGAGGAGGAGGAGGAGGAGGATGAGGCGGAGGTGGACGAGGAGGAGGAGGAGGAGGAGGAGGAGGAGGAGGGCGAAGAGGAGGAAGAGGAGGAAGAGGAGGAGGAGGAGGAGGAGGAGGAGAGGAGGAGGAGGAGGAGGAGGAGGAGGAGGGGGAGAGGAGGAAGAGGAGGAGGAGGAGGAGGAGGAGGAGGAGGAGGAGGAGGAGGAGGAGGAGGAGGAGGAGGAGGAGGAGGGGGAAGAGGGACGCCCACCTTGCCTCGCGCGCGTGGGCCAGCCCGCCGCACGCTGCCGTTCGCGGGGCGCGATCGATAGCAGCGGCGGCCAGCCCGCCCAGAGGCTCGGCTCAGGCGAGCCGCGGCGCCGGCGCGTGCCGAGGGGCAGACCCTCAGACCCCTCGGCGCGCCGCGACGCTGTGGCTGCGTGCGGTCGCGCCCAGGCGTGAGGAGCGCGCCTGGCACAGGCGTGGGCGCCAGCAGCGCACGCCAGCGCGTGTACTGGTGCGCGTCGCCTCCGCGGGGCGGCTCCTTGCAGATCACCATCCTGCGCAGAACCAGAGCGGATGCATGGGCGGCGATGACATGACACGTTCATGCGCTGCCCAAGCTGCGGATGCGGAAAGAATCTGTCGTGGTGGAAATGGTGCAAGCACTGCAGGGCCCCGCTACCGAGCCCGTCAGGCAAGCCGCCCCGCCGCTCGGGTAGTGCAGGCGTCGATCGTGATCGTGCTCGTTCGCCAGCTCCTGATGCGGCGGCCAGACCCTCGTGGCGACCCTGGTAGGGCAAGGCGCCACCTGGAGGCGGAGCACGGCCTGAATTCAGCAGGTTTCGAGCACCCGGCGTATCCTTTTCCGACGGGACCGCCCCTGGCCAGGATGACGCCTCAGGGCCGCTGTTCGACAACGGTTTCGATGCCCCGTCAGAGGAGGAACGCCTCGAGGCGTTGGTCAACCTCCTGGGCCAGTCGGGCGACACAGAGGGGGCCGCCAAGTACCAAAAGCAATTCGACGAACATCGGCGGTCCCAGCAGGAAGCATCGATCACAGTCGGAGCCGCCACTCAGCGGGTGAAGCAGTCAGAAGCTGGACTACGCCGTGCAGTGGAGAGGTTCGATCGGATCGAGAAACAGTACAATGAGGCTCAAGCGGAGGCTGCAGCGGCTTCAGCTGAAGTGGATCTCGCCCGAAGCATCTACCAAGCGGCGGTCAAGAGGCTCACCACTTGCGTCGCTGCAGACGAACAGGCCGCCAATCCAGAACATAACGCTGTTCCAACCATCGACCTGGCATCGCCATTGGAAGGCCAAGAACTCCTCCTGGATGACGGCGGCCTTTACGGACTCGACGAACTGGGCGACGTGGTCACAGATGACGACAAGCAAGAAACCCAGCGGCGCAAGCACGAGCTCCAAAAGCAATTTGCAGAGGCTGCCAAGGCGTGCTTCGGAGACCTCAAGGCAAAAGCGTCGGCCATTACGGAGGGGCAGGCCAAGCAGAAGGAGCGCTTCAAGGCCGAGCGACCTCGCCCCAATGCCGAAGGCGATGCCGACCAGACCAAGCCGCAGGGCGACTCAGGGGACACGCCTGGGCAGCCAAGCCTCAGCGGTGGGGGCAAGGCGCCGCCGACGTCCGAGGCGCCGCCTGGCGAGGCCGCGCCAGCTGCAGCCCCGCCCGCCACCAAGGCAGGCCCGCGCGGTGCTGCGCCCCCTGCGGCACCGGCGGCGGCAGGCGAGCAGACTCCATCAGTCGTCAGGGATGCCAAGGAGAAGCTGGCTTAGGCTGCCGCCTCCGCAGCGGCCAGCAAGACGCCGTCGCGGGGGTAATATCGACATCTGCCCCAACTGCTACCACTTCCACCTCCTGGGGCAGCGGGGCGATGATAGCTGGTCAGGCCAGCAGACACATCCGAGCCGCTGCAGTTTTGTACATGCAGATTGGTCACGCATGATGGTCCCAGCAGTCGCGGGTGACCAAGGAATGGCCAGCCCTGCTCGACCCTACTGGTCCTGTCACGCGTTCACATCGGAAGTCGCGGGTGACTACGACGACCGCTCGGAGCGTGATACCGACACCTACTACCACATCCCAGCGGATAGGGGCCAGCCAGAGCGACAGCAGCGGCGAGTTCGTAGCAGCCCTGCACCAGGACTGGACCGCCTTGCTTCGCGATGGGCCACGAGATGGACCCAGGATCCTGACATCGGTACGCGAGATGATGACAGGCTGGCCTACCTGGGCTGGTGCGAGTTACCCCACTGAGCAGCTGCAGCACCACCGATTCGACAACGTCCTGCGCATGAGGCACCAGACAGCGGCGCAATTGGCCGCTGAGATTTGCACATTAGCATGGGACAGGGGTCGAGTCCGCCGAGACAGGTACCTGCGCTGGCTAGCGACCCTGAGCTCAGCCCAACTACGAATGGCGATCGGTCTACATCGCTGTGACTTCGAGAGGCTTCGAGATTGGATTGCAAACCCAGACCGACAAGGGCCAGCGCCGCCCACCGGCCCACCTGGCCGGCGCCACGTCAAGCATTCCAGCTACTGGGATTACATCGGCGAGTACGTGGTCGCTGAGTCGGGCAGGTGCGACAGCGAGGGCGACCACCACGGCTTAAAGTACCAGCGGCACGAGGATGGCCACGAGTGGGCGCTGGGCGACATGGTCAATGTCGATTGCCAAGGGTGGACCACAGAGAGCCAGGGTCGCATCACAGGTAGCGACTACTGCGACATAGGTGTCGACGGCGAGGATTGCGATATATTTCATGGATGCGCCCGTGCTGGCACAGGCGTTAGAGCGCGCGCGGCCACTGGCGTCAGAGCAAATCCAGGACTTGGTCACCCTGGTTCGTGTCCGCCACGGATCGCCAGACGAAAAGGCAGTTCCCCATGGTTGCAGTGGCGAGAGGGGGAATGGTCCTCAGATCATCCTCGGTTGGGCAGAGCCCGACACACTGCAGACTCGGGGCCCTGCCAGGCGTATAGGACGCAAGTCCCGTTGTCGTGTTCGGGCTCATGTAACCACGTTACGGATCCGCCTCTAAGCCCAGGAGATGACCTCCCTGGCAGTCAGTCGCCAAAGTTGTGCCATGCATCGCTGCAGACAGGACGCCTCTCCTTCAGCAAGAGACGGACGATGAAGACTATTGGGACCCCCCTCTTCGAGAGCGTGCCGAGCAGCGACAGCATCTGCTTCTCCGACGTCTTCGTGCTCTCACCAGCTTTTGGATGTCGCCCGAACCTGGTGCCCACGCTGAGTCAGAGGGTCGCTTGGACTGGCGTGAGCACTGCGTCCCCTACGTGTACCTGCAGCTGGCTGACGAGACCTATGCGCCTGTCTTACAGGCCATGGCTGAGTTCCAAGGCATCGACACACGGGAAGCACGCTTCAACTTGGCCAGAGACACATGCACCCGAGCATGGAACGAGCGAGTGCGAGCAATGGCGAGCCTTCGGAGATGCGTCGCACTGTTGCGCGATCAAGTTGGTCCGATGGACTACAGGCAGAAGTGCACCGACATGCCGACAACCAAGCCGGGACCGTTCGTTGGCTCACGGCCAATGCTCAGGCACCAGCGTCATCTGCGAGCGAGTCGGCATCCAGCAGTCCGACGGCGAGTGCGACGACGACGGCGGCGGCTACGAGCACGTCTTCACCTCCAACCAGCCGTGGGAGGCGCAGCGCCCAGGCCTCTGACGGACCGCCAACCTGGCGGTTCATCACCGTTAACCCCAACGCGTGGGCCTCGTACCAGGGTGTCCTTGCATGGCAACTGGGCCAAGGGACCCGCAGCAATCGCGCCTGGAGTGTGCAGGAGGCTCGGCTCGAGATATCCAAGGAGAGGTCGGCCACCAATTGGGCCCTCCAGGGGGGCCTCAAGACCAACTTCGAAAGCGCGGTCCGCACTGGGGATCACCTGTTGGCTACGTCGGCGGGAGTCATGGCTGGCGTCGCGTTCCGCGCTCGTTCGATCGCGATCCCCTGGAAGGATCCGGGACTGCGCTCCACCAGTGCTGGAAGAGTTGCGGCGCTCAAGGTTGATGTGATGGTGGCTTCTGGGTTTCTCTGGATTGCCCTCTACGCCCGCGATCGCCGGGACTGCAAGGTGGACAACCTTGAGCTCCTGGAGGATCTGGGAGTCTTTCTCCAAGGTTGCCTGATGCCTTGGATTCTAGCAGGAGGCTTCAACGTGGCCCCAGACACGCCTTGATTGGTCAAGTGGACTCAGATGCTCAACGGGGCGATAGTGGCGCCTGACACGGCGACCTTCCCCAGCGGCGCTGGCAAGGCCCGCTGCCTCGACTTCTTTATCGTTTCGAGAGGGATGGCCTCTGCAGTGCAAAGTATTATTCCGCTTCATGCTGCTCCATGCGGCCCGCGCACCCCAGTCCAGCTGACGTTGCGAGGGTTCTCCCTCAGGCTCCCAGTTCATGTGCGTGTGGCATGGAAAGCGTTTCCCACCAAGGCCCCCATTGGCTGCCAGGAGGAGCCCCTCAGGCACCGCTGGACCTGTGCCGCTGGAGACCCTGGGGACAAGAACTTAGAGGCCCTCTGGGGCGAGTGACTGGCCAAGATGGAAGATGAGCTTTGTCATCGCTTTGACCTCTGTGAAGGAGCTGGCACGCCATGCCGTGGACGTGCTGGCGGCTTCCGTCGTCGTGAAGTGCAGCTACAGTTGCTTCTGCGGCGGCGGTGGGAAGATGGAGTGTCGCCGAAAGGCCGACCGTGGAAATCACTCCAGGGACTCTTACACAATATTCGCGGCCTTTGGGCTGGTCCTGACATCCCGAGGTTCTGGAACACCTTGGAAGGCCTCCTGAGAACCATCCAGCAGATCGATTCCGCAGTTCTGGGACCAGATCTGGGGCCTATCGGGGACTTCTCTTTCCTTTTAGATGTGGCGGCGTCAAGTGGAGTCTCCCTGGAAGCTGTCATCAACTCAGTAGATGTCACCACCGAGCGTATCACACGCGAGCAGTCTCGTCTCCGATGGCAGCGCTGGCGAGCATGGGCCCGCGATGCAGTGTCAGGAGGGGGCAGGGCCGCGCGCAAATTTATCCGAGAGGCGGCAGCGATCGTCCCTCCCCTTGCGCCCGATGGGCTGCCACTGCAGGGGAGCGCAGCAGTTTTGCTCTTGCAGTCGGACTGGAGCAAATACTGGCAAGACAAGAAGATGATGATGATGACGGATGCCCAAACACGTTTGGCCAAATATGATACCCTGCCCCTTCCCACGAGCGAGCAAAGTCGTTCCGCGTTGGAAAGGTTCAGACATAATGTGGGGTTGGGGGTCGACCGAATCAACCCCATAAGTTTGATGCTCTTGTCCGACGACTTTCTAAGTCGTCTATGCGACGTCATTGCAGCTTGGGCAAGAGACCTGGAGGTACCCAACTTGTGGCCAACGGTCATAGTTTTCATCGCTAGAGCAGAAGTCCCAGGTCTCCGTCCCGGCGCGCTCATTGCAAGCATTTTCCGAGTCTGGGCACGAATGCGCCAATCCATGGCCGAGGGGTGGTAGCGTGCACGTGACCTCCCTTGCTTCTGGGGGTCGCGTTGTCGGACGTGCGATCGAGCTGGATTGTTCAGTGACCTAGAGAAGTTCTAACAAAGAGTGCCCGGCTCTGTCCTGATGAGGGAGTCTAGGGCCACGGGGTTCAATGGGCGCCTTACGCTGCTCGCAGGCTCTATAGGGGGCCCAGAGCCCTCAGCTTCCACAGCGCCGTCGGGGAGGTTTTCAACGCGGTTGGAACTATTATTGCAGGCTGCTCGCTAGCGGCTTCGTTTGCTAAGATGATCCTGTTCCGCCTCCTCAGAGGCCTTTCGGGAGCCCACCCCAATGACAAGATCCGGAACGTTGTTGATGACGTTCGCGCCCAGTGCGTCGGCACCGTGGACGCCATCGCGCAGCAGCTAGGCCATGTGGGGGACAAGCTGGTGGGCTACGCTAGGCTCGAGCTGGTTCTGGGGAACTCCAAGACCCACTGCGTTGCTTCCTCGGGGCGCCTTGAGACACAGCTTGGGGCAGTGTGGAGGCGTCATGGGTTCCTGGCCAGGAAGGCAACCAGGGGCCTGGGGTCGACAGTGGCGCTGGCTGGACGACGACGTAGGACCACCACTCAGGCTGCGCGGCTCCGAAAAGGTGCCCGAAGGATTTGGAAGCTGCGTCGGCTTCGAGGCGGCGGGGCCGTTGCCCGCCGAGTGCAGCGAACAGCCCCGCAGGCGTGTGCCGTCTGGGGGGCCATCGTGGGCGGCTTCACGAGTCGTCAGCTTCACGGTCTCCGAGTTTCTGCAGTGAGGTCCCTGTTCAAAAGCAAGGGTACTGCTTCGCCAGGCCCCAGAGTGTATAGCTAAAAAATCGGACAGCGCATGGACCCCCCAGGCCCTTTACCACAGATCCGTGGTCTCGGCCTGGGCCCAGGCCATGTGGGGAGGCAGGCCACCGCTGGCCAACGTGCAGCAGGCTCTAGAAGGGGCCCAGCATGATTTGACCCCGGCCCGATTTGCCTGGCGCGCGGTAAAATCACCAGTGCACGTTTTTGCGCAACCAATCAAGAACCTAGGCAGGCAAATCCAACATGCTCGGGGTTTGGCGACCGAGGATGGTCGAGCTCTGGATTTGCTTGCACTTGCACCCCGTCAAGTTTCTTGGTTAGCGCAGCGAGCGGCCCAGAGGAGATCATACGTAGCGGCCTTGACGGCCCGAAGCCCGAAGTTCTTCGGCTGTCTGTGCCCGCGTCATCCCCTGGGAACCCCTCCTGGATATGATGGAAAGGCCCGTGCGTGGCCTCTGGTCGAAGCATCATCAAGAGTCGCTGCGCAGCCTTGCCTCGCAATGTACCTGGACCCGAGGCAGACTCTGCAAGCGCGGTCTCGCCGAGGACCCGCTGTGCCAGCTGTGTCACTGCGCTCCAGGGACCCTTCTGGCATCGCCGACGTGTATGCCCAGCTATGCACGGTGAAAGGATCACGGCCTGCAGCACGGAGTTACTGGAAGCCGCGTCCCGACTCGAGGCCTGGCATCAGGACCTTGGAAAGGCGGCGGCAGGCATCTTCTCTCTCCCCTTTGAGCTGGCTCCTTCCCCCCTCTTCGCCTGTCAGGCAGGGATTACCTGGGTGAATCGGCCAGAAGACGGGGTCCTGCGGGGGCATGTTTTCTCCGGCGGGTCTTGCCGTGACCCTGTGGGCCCATCGCTGGCCCGCGCGGGCTGGGCCCTCGCCGTGATGGACGAGGATGGTCGATTCATCTCATCATGTTTTGGCGCAGTTCCGCTCGCGGCAGCGACTTTTTAATCGGCGAGAGACGGTGGAGATTATGCGGTATATATGGCAGCCTGCGGGGCAGTGGATGTGATGGGTGTCTAATTCTATATAGATTGCAGCGGCGCGCTCGGGGCGCTCCGATGCCCGCCGTTTGCGATGAGCTCGAGCTGCCCGCGATGGCATTTATGGTCGCGTGTTTTCCATGCCTCTCATGGAGTCACCCCACGGCCACCAAAGTAAAGGCACGCGCCAGCTGGGCCGACGTGGAGGTAGGTCGGACCGCCACCTTCGCTAAACTTGTCTCGGATGTTGCGGGTAAATATGCGAATGTGGGAGCCGACTGCCACCCCAGCACGGTAGAGGCCCAAGCTGTTGGGAGAGTTTTCAAGCAAGTTGCCCGTGAGGCGGCTCACTGGGCAGCGGAGCAAGAGGTTCTGATGGCCAGTCGCAGCTTGAAGGACTCTCGAGACATCCCCGAGCTTGTGCTCGGAGCCAAAGGTCGTGACCGCCAGCAGCCAGGGCCCCCTCGAGAGCTTCGAAACGGGTCGGCAGGCTTTCGCTCTGAACCCTAGGGCCCAGGCCGGCCTCGACCTCCTCGTGTGGCTCTCTCGGCACGCTTTCATGAAAGCAACTGTTTTTGGAGTCGGCGGACGGCGAGTGATCCGAGGCTCGACGGTTTTATTTTGCACGGCCTGTGGGGCGTACAGCTGGGGTGGGAGAGTGTCTCTTTGTAAGACCTGCCCAAGGCCCCAAGATGTTTCGATCGCCCTCCGGAGACAAAAAGGACGTGCTGCCAAACGCCTCTTTCCTGGGTGGGCTCCACAATACAGAGGGTGGACCACAGGGGAACCGCGACCAGCAGCACCCATAGATCTAGAGCTCGCTGCCCGTTCCAACGGGTCCACTATTAAGCCGCCTACTGATGTGGGGGTGGAGGCGTCGGGACTTGGTGGGCGGGGGGTCTGGGGGGAGAAATGGACTGCTGACCAGGTCTCGGCTCGTTTTGGGCCCACGCTCGATGATGTGAGCCGCTGGAGCCAGAGACTTGAGAGAATTCAGATGGGCCCGAAGCATCCAGGCAACGAAGCCCTGGAATGATGTGTATTGTCTTTGTTCAACCTCCTGATTGAGGGGCGGATTATTGCTGGCTGAGGCTTGTCACCGACCTCCTCCGCCCTGGGGAACAGAAACAAAGGAGGGGGAAGAGGAGGGGAGGAGGCGGCGGCGGAATGGGAGGGGAAGGGGAAGGAGGAGTTGGAGGAGGAACGCGAGGATGATGAGGGGGAGGATGATCAGGAGGAGGCTGCGGAGGCGGAGGCGGAGGAGGGGAAGGAGGCGGAGGAGGATGATGATGATGATGATGAGGAGGAGCAGGATAACACATTACATATTCATTGCACCAATCATACCATTAGGACTAGTTTTATTAGGTGTATTGCTACGAAGAAGAATACTATCACGAGTTAACCGATGAAGACACAGAAGACGGCGCGTCCACATAAAAGTAAACAAACTGTTGGATAATCAGAACCGTACGAATAATACTAACAGTACGACTACGACGAACAACAACATTACGACTACGGGTAGTAGTAGTAGTAGTAGTAGTAGTAGTAGTAGTAGTAGTAGTAGTAGTAGTAGTAGTAGTAGTAGTAGTAGTAGTAGTAGTAGTAGTAGTAGTAGTAGTAGTAGTAGTAGTAGTAGTAGTGAGTATTGTAGTAGTAGTTGTTTTTTTAGTTAGAGTAGTAGTAGGCGGCGGGGCCTCGGGGTTCCGAAACCCCGGAGTTTCAGCAGTTCACGCTGAACTGCTGAACTTCGGGGTTCGGAACCCCAGGCCCCCGCCGCCGCCGGCGCCCCCCCCGGGGCCAAAAAAACCTGAACTTCGGGCTTTCGAGAGTCGGAACCCCGAAGCTCAGCATACTACTACTACTACTACTACTACTACTACTACTACTACTACTACTACTACTACTACTACTACTACTACTACTACGACTACTACTACCAGTATTACAACTCCCACTACTACTATTAATACTACTACTACTACTACTACTACTACTACTACTACTACTACTACTACTACTACTACTACTACTACTACTACTACTACTACTTAACTACTACTACTACTACTACTACTACTACTACTACTACTACTACTACTACTACTACTACTACTACTACTACTACTACTACTACTATTACTACTACTACTTACTACTGCTTCTGCTACTGCTACTGCTACTGCTACTGCTACTGATACTGCTACTGCTACTGCTACTCTACTACTATACAACTACTACTACTTACTACAACTACAACTACAACTTACAACTACTACTACTACTACTACTACTACTACTACTACTACTACTACTACTACTACTACTACTACTACTACTACTACTACTACGACTACGACTACGACGACTACTACTACTACTACTACTACTACTACTACTACTACTACTAATGCTAACAAGAATAATGCGAACACGAACAGGACTAAACATACTACTGCGACGACGGATGCAAATACGAACAATCAGAAGCACACGAAGTGGACTAATGAGACTAAGCAGAGTAATGCTACTAATGCGATGAATAATCATACGAATACGAAGCCGAAACAGAGGAGGAGGAGGAGGAGGAGGAGGAGGAGGAGGAGGATACAGAGAGGGGAGGAAGGAGGAGGGAATCTGCGGAGGAGGAGGAGGCGTGAAGGATGCGGGGAGGAGGAGAAAGGAGGAGGAGGAGGAGGAGGAGGTGGAGAGGAGGAGGATGAACAGGAGGAGAAGCTGGAGCAGGAGGAGGAGGAGCAGGAGGAGGAGGAGGAGGAGGAGGAGGAGGAGGAGGAGGAGGAGGAGGATGAGCAGGATGAGGACGAGGAGGGGGAGGGGGAGGAAGGGGAGGAGGGGAAGGAGGAGGAGGACGAGGACGAGGACGAGGATGATGATGTGGATGAGGATGATGATTCTGATGCTACTGATGATGATGAAGATGATGATGATGATGATGATGATGATGATGATGATGATGATGAGGATGATGATGATGATGATGATGATGATGATGAGGATGATGATGATGATGATGATGCTGATGATGATGATGATGATGATGATGATGATGATGCTGAATCTGGTGCTGGTGCTGGTGCTGATGGTGATGCAGTTGCTGATGATGATGAGGATGCTGCTGCTGATGCTGATGATGCTGATGATGCGGATGATGATGAGGAGGCGGAGGAGGAAGAAGAGGAGGAGGAGGGGGAGGAGCAGCAGGAGGATGAAGAGGAGGAGGAGGATCATGCTGGGATTAGGCTACTCAGATCCAACGCCTGATGGAAAGCTCAAACACGGATACTCAATATTTATTGCTACACACATGGAGGCAGGTGCGTGGAAGGAAGATATCCTACACGAGACAAGACACGCCGCACCTCGGCCGCAACAGGTGTGTGAGAACACGAGTGCGCTGCGCGAGTTGTAACTATCCGTCCCCATCCGCGACCTTCGGCGGTCCGGCCAGGCACGGAAGACATATGCAACGTGCTCGCAGCCTACCACGAAAACAAAGCACACCCAATTGAACATTCATAAATGCGATGACAAGTCAGCTCATGGCCCGCGTACTGCAGCATTGAATTGGGACGAACAACTGGACGGTACTGTGTGGCGATCGCACCAATCCACACGTTCATGAACCAACCAACCACAGAAATTTCGATTTGGACGATGCTGCAGTGGAAGGTTGAGCAAAGTGTAGAACTGATTACGAATATGCACTCTCACCAATACTTTGAATTACAACGTGGAGCGTGAAGGAAAGCGGCATTTGCCTTGCTTGTCCCGCGGGGCCTGGGCCAGGCTAGCCAGTATCGCCACCTCTTCACGGGCATGCTGCCGTCGACCCTGTAGTCGAGCTCCGCGCCTGCACCGCCTTGGACCCAAGAGTGGGTCCTCGCCTTCTTCCGCCAGTAGTGGCAGGGGCGTTGGCCATTCACCACCGCTGGCACCTGTAACCTCGTCGGCGTGACATCGCTGGCTGACACTTTCCGCACACGAGCAGCTGCGGGCCCTCTCCCACTGGGGCGCCTACCTCCGCGCTCGGGACTACGCAGCCCCGGCCCACTGCGCTACCACCAACGGGATGGTGTCAGCATGGTCCCGCTGCGGCTCGGGACGTCATTGCCATCTCGAAGTTTGACGGCCCAACTCGGGGGGGTCGGCCAGACGCGCACCTCCCGCCCACCCTGAGCGAGATGGTTGAGGAGGAGGAGGAGGAGGAGGACGAGGAGGAGGAGGAGGAGGAGGAGGAGGAGGAGGAGGAGGAGGAGGAGGAGGAGGGTGAGTCCATGTGGCCCTTTAGCCTTCACCTCCCCGGACCTCCCCTCTGACGCGTCCTCTCCTTGTCCCCCGCGTCCTCCTCCCCCTTCCTCCTCCGATCCTCCTCCTGCTCCGCCTTCTCCTCCTCCTCCTCCTCTTCCTCCTCCCGCCGCCACTCTGGCTCGAAGATTCGCACCCTGACTGTCACTTTCTTCATCGCCGACTCCGTGCGCTCCGCCGCGGAGATGGCCGCCGCCCTCCGCGCCGTCCTGGCCGTGGTGCTGCCTCTGCTCTCGGGCGCCATCATCGTCAAAGAGCTGCCCAACTCCACCGATGCGAGGCGGGGCGACGGAGGAGGAGGAGGAGGAGGAGGAGGAGGAGGAGGAGGAGGAGGAGGAGGAGGAGGAGGAGGAGGAGGAGGAGGAGGAGGAGGAGAGGAGGACGAGGACGAGGAGGAGGAAAGGAGGGGGCCCAAAGCATACATCGACTTAACTCAACACAGAAGTTAGCAATGAACTAAGGAAAGCTCACCATCATGGACAAACAATCGCAGGAACAGATCAGGAGAAACGAATTGTAGGAGGAAGGACGAGAAGGATGATGAGGAGGAACGAGGGAAGAGGAAGAGGAGGAGGAGGAGGAGGAGGAGGTGGAGGAGGAGGAGGAGGAGGAGGGAGGAGGAGAGGAGGAGGAGGATGAGGACGAGGGAGGAGGAGAAGGAGGACGAGGAGGAGGAGAAGGAGGGAGGAAGAGGAGGCGAGAAGGATTGAGGGGGAGGACGAGGAGGAAGAGGAGAGGAGGAGGGAGAGGAGGTGGAGGAGGACAGAGGAGGCGGGAGGGAGGAAGAGGAGGAGGAGGAGGAGGAGGAGGAGGAGGAGAGGAGGAGGAGGTGGAGGGAGGAGGAGGTAGGGGAGGAGAGGAGGAGGAGGAGGAGGAGGAGGAGGAGGAGGAGGAGAGGAAGGCGGAGGAGGAGGAGGATGAGGAGGAGGAGGAGGAGGCGGAGGAGGAGGAGGAGGAGGAGGAGGAGGAGGGGGAGCATCAGGGGGAGGCACAGAGGGAGGGCCCGTGTGCCGATCCTGGCCGGGCCCGCCCGGGTCCCCAGGACCAGTGCACCGCTGCGGCGTTCCAGATAAGAGGCGCCGCCCCTCGCGGGATCGAAGAGGAGTTGCCACCTCTGTCTCTGGGGTAGGCGCCCGCCCGGGTCCCCAGGACCGGTGCACCGCTGCGGCGTTCTAGACAAGAGGCGCCGCCCTCTCGGGATCGGGGAGGAGTTGCCACCTCTGTCGCGGCGGACACGAAGCGAGGTCGGCTCCGCGGACGCAAGCCAGCGGAAGTATTCTGGGCCTCCAAGGTGCGGTCCGAGTAGGTGGGGTCGGAGGGTCGCGCCGCATCGCCGATGCATCGGCGATGCTGCTCGATGTGGAGCCTGATCTTCTCCACGCCGATGGTGCCGATGTTTTGCCGAAGTCGCCGATGCATCGCTGGTGCATCGGCGATGTGTCGCCGATGCATCGCTGATGCGGCGCGATCCCCCGACCACATCTTCTCGGAGCCCATCTGAGAGGCCTCTAGGTACAAGATACCCCCCTCCAAGATGGCAGCGTTTTTGGGATCAGGGTTGCCGAGCCCGACCATGGTGCCTCCCTGAGCAGGCGCCAGGGCATCGCATGCATCGATGCTGGGCGTCGGTTGGGCCTGGCCTTACGTCGGGCATGTCCCTCTACAAGAGGAGTATTCAAAAATAGTCAAATTTTTCGACTATTGAATCGCTTCGCTCATTCCGCCGGCCCGTGGGGGCCTCTTGGGGGCCTCTTAGGGCCTCCAAGAGGCCTCTTGGGGGCCTCTTAGAGCCTCTTGGGGGCGTCTTGGGGGCGTCTTGGGGGCCTCCTGAGGGCTCTTGGTGGCCTCTTGGGGCCTCTTAGTGGCCTCTTGGGGCTTCCTGGAGGCCTCTTAGGACCGAGGGCTTGAAATGTTGTTTCGTGCTCCCCCTCTGGGGCCGCTCTTGGGGCGCTCTAGGGGCCCTCTTGGGCCGTCTTGGAGGCCTCTTGGGCCGTCTTGGGGCCCTCTTGGGCCGTCTTGGAGCCCTCTTGGGGGCCTCTTGGGCCCTCTTGGGGCGATCTTGTGGGCCCTTTGGGCCGTCTTGGGGCGTCGGGAAGCCGAAAAGGTGGAAACACCCAAATCTTTCCAAAACCTGAGGAAAAGCACTGATTTTTGCATCTTGGGGCCCTCTTGAGAGTCTTGGGGCGTCTGGGGGCCATCTTGGGCGTCTTGGAGCGATCTTGTGGCATCTTCGAGCCCTCTTGTATCATCTTGGGGGCCTCTTGGAGGCCTCTTGACCCTTCTTGGGGCTCTCTGGAGGGTCTCGAGGGCGGCGCCCAGACGGCAAACCATCTCTGATCCGACCCTGCCGGGGTAGTTCTCCTCCGGGGACCCCCAGGGGCCGCCCCCCACGCGCGAAGTAGAAATACTGTAAAGCAGTTACCGGAGATCTTAGCACGCCTCTGGCCCGTTGGGCTGGCGAATTTCTCGGAGAATTTGTGAGCATCCTTGATGATTTTTGGATTATTTCTAGTCCGACATTCGCCTGTAGGGGGGCACGCCCGACCTATGCTTGGCCAGCATCGGCGTATATGTGGGCGCTGGCCAGGCGAACGTAGTCGGCCCACCTCCATCATCCCAGGGGTGCTGGGCACAACGCTTTGGGGGAGCGCCCCGGCTCTCAGTTTGAGCTGGGGCCACGGAGTTTGGGGGCGGAAAAGAGGGGGGTGATGACTGGGGGGGGGTGGATATCATGGCGTGGGCCATGCTATTTCCCCAGATCTCATGGCGCCTCTTCTTATTCCATTACGTCCCTGGCCCCCCCCCCCGGGCCGCGCACATGCCGCCGGCCACGATTTGCACCCCCCCCTCTTGGACGCCCCCCTCTTGGCCGCCCCCGAGGAGTGGCCAGACCCCCCCCCCCCGCGTTCCCCGTGCTCGCCCCTCCCCGCCCCTTTGGCACCGGCGGCGAGAGCGTGCTCTCCCGCGCGCGCGCACGCAGCCGATGCCTGGCGAGGCCTGTCCTGGGCCCAGGGGCTGGTGCACATGACCCAGGCCTCCTCGCGTGGCGAAACCGGAGGGTGTCAAAGGGGGTTTTTGGGGAGGGGGTTTTCCAGAGAGCCCCCAGGGGCCTCGGAGCCTCGTCAAAACAGGGGGTGCGAAACCCCTGGGGGACGCCTCCTGGAAAACCCCCTCCCCCACAACCCCCTTTGGAACCCTCTGGTGAAAAACTCCCGACGGGAGGGCTTTCGCCATTTTCGACCTCAGGGGACCCTCCCCGGGCCTCGGGGCCATCAAAATACGTTTCAGGATGAAAAACCGGTCCTTGGCAAGGGGTCGATCGAGACCTCTGGGTGTCGACGTCGTGAAGGAAACAAAAAACATCCGACGTCGGGGGTCTGGGGACTCCCTGGCCCGGCAAGGAAGGCGCGGGCACCGATGCTGGGCCCAGGATCGGCCTGGTTGGTGCCGGGGTGCGTGCACAGTTCTCGCGCGCCGACGCCAGGGCCGCGGAGCAGCCCCAGCAGATGGCCCTGATCCAGGACGGCGGCCAGTGCGCTGCCCTGAGGGCAGGGAGGCCCAGTAACGGCCAGGCAGGCCCTCCAGGGGGCCCATGACACAGTCAGCACGGCAAGTGATCCCAGAACGCTGACGCTGTGATTTTTCATAGGCTGTGGGTCCCGGGAGGTCCGGACTTGTTCCCGGGATGGGCTTTTCATCCCGAGTCGTTTTTTGACGGCCCCGGGGCCCGATACGAGCCCCTTTGAGGCCGAAAGGAAGGAGCAACCTTCCTTTATATTTTTTCCCACGGGGGTCCAGCGTGGATCCAAGAACTCCGCGCGGACCGGCGAAAGTTTCTGCTTATGCTGTTCTTTGTCCCTCTATTTCTACGCGTACCCTTCGCAGGAGTGACCCTTGCTGCGGGCTCAACAGATCCCACGATCTCTGCGCGCGATGAGGCAGCGGCTGCTTGCGCGCTGAGATTAGGCCACCTTGCGCCCGCCACCTTGGTCCGCGCACGAAAGGTCACTCGGGCCCGCTGGCCGGGGAACTGGAGCAGCATGTCGCGCGTTCGCTGGGAGGCCGTGGGCGACCCAGCAGAGGGCTCGTGCACGGGGTGGGCTTCTGCCGAGCTCGGTGGGCCGCAGAAGCATCTGATTCAATGCGCGCACAGAAGCTGCCCACTTGTTGTTCAGGTCACGATTCATGGCATGAGCTTGCTTATTGCAGTTCGGCTTGTGCGGTGTTTGCGGTTTGCGTAGCGACTTTTTGTTCCGCGATCTGGTTGTGCCACCGCTTGTGTTTCGCGTGGTTAAACAAGTCATTGGGGCCTTGTATGTCCTCGAAATTCAGTCATCCGAGTGCATCCGCTTGCCATAGCGCTTGGTATTCGATGAGGAAGCGCCAATGCAGCATCGAGTAGCGTCAATTGAGCGTCGATTAGCATCGAGTCAGCGTCGATTAGCGTCGACTCGCGTCGATTTGTGTCGGCCTGCGCTGATTCGCAAGAGCCAGCAAGATGACATGGGGGTTCCCATGGGTTGCCACAGCGCTCGTGGTGGCGGGTTTGGAGTGCGGAGCGTGTGGGGCCGATCGCCTCTGTTGGCCTTCGGGGCCTGGGGTGGCCAGCCGCCCGCGTACCCAGGAACACGCGGCCGTCGCCGCGCACAGCTCCGGGATTCCGTTCATCGGGACCTCGGTGCTCAGGGACAACGAGAGGAGGAGGGGAGGAGGAGGAGGAGGAGGAGGAGGAGGAGGAGGAGGAGGAGGAGGAGGAGGAGGAGGAGGAGGAGGAGGAGGAGGAGTTTTTTGGATTGCAAGGCTGATGAAGCACAGTGCCTGTCAGCAATAAAAAGCAGCGCGACGCTGGCAGAATATTAGCGGGAGCTAAAAAGTTCTGCACGGGCGCTAAGTTAAACAGCCACCACCAGTTCAGGGCAGTTAAAAGCAACAGAGAACAGCAGGGCAGTCCTGCTGGTCCTGGTTGCCGACAACTCCCTGGCGACCGGTCAAGTAAGGGTGAGCAGTGACAGAAGGCGGCGAGCTCGCAATTCCCTGGCATCGCCGAGCCTTCACAGTACCAGAGAGGAGAGTACAGACTTCAAAGCAAGGAGACGGGGGAAGTCGTGCAAAGTATCTGCAAGCTCGCCCGTGGGAGACCACGACAGGCACGAGTGTCGAAATCGTGTCGGAGTTTGCAGGAACCAGAGCACAACCAACTTCCAGTATGAACTGCGAGGAGGAGGAGGAGGTTAGGAGGAGGGTAGGCATTGGGGGGGATGCATCGGCCCCCACTCGTCCGTCCATCGTCGACGGGGGCCCGATGGCCCACCCCCGCCCAGAGCGTGGGGTTCGGGATCGGGGGCCTGTCGCCGATCTATCGGCGACGTATCGCCGTTTCCAGGTCGATGTCTCGCTTCCTTGTGCCAGTCCCCCCCTATCGTTGGCCCTCAGGTGCAGCTCTCGCTGACGCAGATCATCGATCCGATTAAGCAGAGCCTGCTGAGGCTCAAGGAGTGGATCGTCACGCAGCTGGCGTCGCTGGACGCGGGCCTCACTAAGACCCAAGAGATGCCCGAGAAGGCGCTCGAGGTGTTTGCGACAAAACTCAGCGCCCTTTTCGAGGCGATTGACCTGCAGCTGCAGCCAGTCACCAGCAAGCTGTCGGCCGACAGCCCGGCCATAGATGGCCTGAGCAAGGTGCTCACGGCCACCGGCCATCCGGGTGTCGCAGACAAGATCACCGAGGTCATGGACGCGATGAGCAAGCAGGTTCAAGCGTACGAGAAGACCTTGAGCAGCAGCGCCGACGTCGCGGACGGCCTGAAGAACCTGACCAAGGACGACTGGCACAAGGCAGGCCCGAAGATTGAGGAGCTGAAGAAGTACCTGGACACGGGTGCGTCCGCGATCAAGTCCTTTGGGGACACGCTCCAGGCAAAGGTCGAGGAGGCGCTCACGGTGCTTGCCGGCAGCCTCGGCGTCGAGGCCTCCGTGTTCTCGCCGATCTCGCAGGCCGCCGGCGACGGCTGGCACTACCTGGGAGACTCCTCGACGGCCCTGGCCGCTGGCATCGTGTCCTCCTCGCAGATGCTCCCCCCTGAGATCAAGGATCTGTGTGATCGAAATCGGTACAGTCATCGGCCTGACCTAAGGAACGATAAATAAGGAACGAAGACCCTTTTTTTTATCCCAAGGAATAACGCATAAGGAACGATAGATAACAAATAGCGCATAAGGAACTGTAAATCACGCATGCAAGCCTAAGGGACGACCGAGCCCCTTTTGAAAAGTAAGTGTTCCTTGCTCAAGCCGCTCACTGTACAGAAAGGATGGGCACGAAGATCGACAGCATGTTCTGCTCATTTTGAGCAGGACTCGCCTCGCTGTCGGTGTCGCCGCGGACGTTGTCCACCTGAGACAGAAGGCCGCCCGCACAACATTTGTAGAACGTCTGTTGTTGGGTATCGTGCCCATTTTTCCTACCCGTTTCGGGCGTCCAAGAAGGAGCCGTGGGACGCCAACCGTCCCAGGATCAGTGCATGCGCCCTCCTGCCCAGGCTGGGAATTGGGACACTTTCGCCAATCCTCGCGACAAAGCCAGTTTTTTTTTGGGGGGGGATCACCACAAACTGCGCAAGCATCACTAGAAGAAAAGCTGTCTGCCTGATGCGATCCAGACTGGCTCCTCCTCCTCCTCCTCCTTTCCCTCCCTCCTCCTCCTTTCCCTCCCTCCTCCTCCTCCTCCTCCTCCTCCTCCTCCCCTCCTCCTCCCTCCTCCCCCCCCCCCTCTCCTCCTCCTCCTCCTACTCCTCCCTCATCCTCCTCCTCCTCCTCCTCCTCCTCCTCCGGGTGCACAGAAGGACTTCTCCTGCAGTGCCCTGTTGGAGCGGCACGGGCGAGGTCTGGCGCCCCCCCCCCCTCTCCCTGCGGAGAGGGCCTGGCCGCCTGGCCGCGACGACCAGTGCGCAGCCGGCCACGGTGGGCAACGACGGCGGGCTCAAGAGACGGGGGTCAGTGCAAACGGGGGCCAGCCAGGGCACCGGATCCTGCAGGATCCCGCGAAGACCCCCTCTGGCTGACCCAGGTTTTAGCGAGCCGCTCGTGGCCGCGAGGCGGCCGCGCATGCTGGCTGACCCGGGTTTGCGAAGACCTGCGTGGCAGTTTTTTTTTTTTTTTTCCTGCATTGCAGTTTTTGGTGTCCTGCTGACCCGGGTCTGGATTGACCCGGGTGCCGAGGCCACGCTCGCATGCTTGCACGCCGCTTACCCCAAACTTGATTTCCCGCCGAGTGTACGAAACACAGGCAGGCTGCTCCGTAGATTGAAGTCGGGCCTGTCCCTCCACATGAGGAGCATTCAAAGATAGGAAAAATAGTCAGGGGACGATGTTTGGCCATTTTTGAGCATTTTAGTTGTATTTTTTGACTATTCTTCATTTTTCGTCCAAAATCCCCCTGTAGGGGGACAGGCCCAACTTAACCGTAGATCCACAGACTATTCTGCCCATTTTTCTCAGGGGTCCGACCAGGCAACAAATTCTGGGGGCAGTCAATTCTGTGGTCGATCCCCTCCTCGAACGCTCGGGCCATCCCTGCCTGCCCGGGCCACCCTCGCCAGCTGCGCCCCAGGGCCTCGCATCCCGGCGCTGCACCCTCGCCCCTGGGCTGCCGCTCCTCAGGGAAGCGAGAGTGGGGCCTCGGCCCCGCCGTGCCCTCGGCGCCCGCGTGGCACACTCCCGCCCTGCGGCCGGGAACCTCTGCTCCGCGCTCCGCGCCGCCGCCTCTGGCCCACCGCGCTGCGGCCCGACACGCTCTCCGCGCCCTGTGCTCCCCGGGCGCCCGCGCCCAGAGCCGCTCCGGGCCTCTCTTCCGCCCCAGCGACGCGCTGCGGGCTCCGCGGGGCGCGGCCCGTCGCAGGGGCCGCCCGCCGCGGCGCGCCCAGGCAGAGGCTCCCGCGCCGTGCTCGGCGCCCTCCGAGCCGAGGACCCGCAGCCCGACAAGGCGCACTCGGGGGCCGCCGCGGGCGGCGCCCTCCTCGGCTCCCTCGGCGCGGCGCTGGCGGCCGCGCTCGTGCTGTCGGCGTGAGGCGGCGGCCTGCGGCCTGCCCGCACGGAGCCGCGCCTCACGGAGCTCCTCTGCGCTACGCTTCTGTGTCGTGTCGACGCTGCGAGGGGCTCCGCCGCGGGCACTCCAGGCTGAGCGCGGCCCGTGGCCCAGAGTCGGCCAAGATGGCATGAATCTGGCGATGGAGAGGCCGCCGATCGTTCAAGGGTGAACCGACCCACATGTTACCAGCCTGGAACATGTCCCTATCCCTATGCTGGGCATCTCCTCACCACGATGCCAATCTTAGGGATTCCCTTATTTTTTGAGGGCGCATCCCTAAGATTGTCATCGCCTTTTGGCGTGTCAATCTTAGGGATAGGGATAAATAAGTTCGAGGCTGGTAAGCATGGTTTCAGAAACCAACGCCCGGGCCGTCACGACACGGACCTGCCGTCCTCCGCCCGCGCTGCCTGCGGCCGCGGCGGACCTGGCGTCTCGCGGAGCTCATTTTGATCATCGAGGATCGGGCGTCGAGGCGCGAGGATGCCGATCGCCACTTTGGTGCTTTCGGGAGGCGCCACGTTGCCGCGGCTGGATTCGTTTCGACTTGCGCCGGTCACAACGCGGCCCAGGACAGGCACGGGGGGTTGATTGGGGCCTGCAGCTCATGACGTGGCACCTCGAGGTTCATATTCTCTTAGGCCTGCAGGTCCACGTGTACCAATGAGCCGGATATGCATGGCGCGGCCTGCCTGGGCCAGAGCCGGAGTGAAATGTGGCCTCACGTCTTCCCTGCGCTCGGTCCTTGTGTGACCAGGCAAGCCGCCCCCTCCTGCATGTAAGTACAGTGGAGGCCCATGCCAAGAACTACTCTGCTCGCCTCCAGGGTGCTCTGGGTTTCTCGGGGTTCGATGATTTTGCGGTGGAGGGCGCGACGTTCCCACACCAGAAGTCCATGGACGCCCTGGGGTCTCAGGGTTGGGTCTCTTGTGTAGGGTTTCTTACGGAAGGGCCCCTCCTGTACATCAGCAAGAGGCCTCCAGACGTCCCACGTGCGAGCCGAGCCCCGTAGAGGGTGAGGAGGAGGAGGAGGAGGAGGAGGAGGAGTAGGAGGAGGAGTAGGAGGAGGAGGAGGAGGAGGAGGGGGGAGGAGCGAAGGAGGGAAGGAGGAGGCAGGAGGAGGGGAGTTTTTTAGGGAGAGGAGGAGGAGGGTGCTTCCAGCCTCCTGGTGAGGTGTCACACCAGGGCCCCCGCTCGGACCAGGCGCCCTCCCAGCTCCGAGCACTCGGACCTGCAGCGCGCCCCCGGAAGGCGTGGGGGTTAGTCC